CATTTCAATCCCATGATAACATAGTATAAAAATTACAGTTGCAGAAACTATAATATATAATAATTCAAATTCCAGGTTACCTTGACTTTTGGGTTTACCTTTTGGGTTTACCAACCTAAGAGTATAACTTCATATTTTCGAGTAAGCTTCCTATCGATGTGAGCTCCAACACACTATGCTCTACAAATAATTCCATAAAACAGAATTAATGACTAATTATCATTAATTAACCCATTAAGGCCTAGAGCTATTATTAAGTATGATTAAGCCTAACTAACCTTAAAACTAACTTTCCTTAGTTTATTTAGCTCCAAATAAGCTTAATAATCATTGCTAGCTACCTTCATTAGCTTAAACTTAATTATTTAAAGTAGGGTTAACTCTAAACTCCTTACTAATGGCATTTAATGCTAACAACCACTACAACCCATTAACTAAAGCTATTTAAGATTAGCCATAGGCTTCATTGTAGCCATCTAAACATCCTAACTTGGCTATCATTTTAGATAACCCCCTTCAAAGTAGAAACTCAAAGAATGAATAAGAAAAAGCAAGAAGAAAATAGTAGGAAGCTTACATAAGGTGTGGCTAGCCATATAAAAGCTCTAAATAACCCCTAACTGTAACATCCCAAAAATTATCCCCTTGATTAATTAAGCTAATGAAGACTAAATTTGTAAATTTAAATATAAATGGATTTGAGAATAGTTATAGGAGACTATTGGTTTTGGTTTTAGCTTTTAGATCACGTTCGAAAGTGAATTAGGTCTCTTAGACTCAAATTATAGAGAAAAATGGAATTTTTAACCCACTGTGCATTATACTGTAGCATAAAAATTTATACTGCAACATAATTTCTAGAATCAATTTTCTTTAAAAATGCAAAAATGTCCGAAATAGAGAGAAATGAGCTAAAAACAGAGGGAGGATGACAAAAAGAGTCTTTTCTCTACTAAGGTATCAACTTTTAGGCATTTTAGAGGTGAATGGAGCTTCATTTCAACTAAGTATGCCTTCCTTATCCCTTCTTCTTCTCTCTATACAATTTAGAAGTAAGATGTGATATTGGAAGATGATGATTTTCAAACCTAGAGCAATGGGTCCAAACCCATTAGTCTAAATGGGACTAATGGGAGTTGTTTGATTTATCTAGGACCAGATATAATGGTCTTATATGTCCATAAGAGTGAGGTCTCAATTATGGACCAATTTGTGTATTTAAATGCCATTAATGTTAAAAGTTATGATTGTTAGAAGCCACTATTAGTGGTAGATGGGTTTAATAGTTTATTTGGGTGGTTGAGAACCAATTAATGTAATGTTGGCAACATGATGAATTATGTTTGTGAGATTGTATTGAATTGTTGAGAATGTTACATATGTATATTCATGTGATTATTGATGAATGAAAGATGTACATGTGATATTTGGCATGTGGAGTATGATGAATATGATTTTGGTATGTGGATTATAGTGGAGAAAGAGAATTATGTGAGTATGATGTGATGTGATTACTGCTATTTGATTGACATATATGCTGTTATTTGTACGGCATGATCACTATGGTGGGAGTTCGCTTATAGAGAAGAGTAGAGTTGCAAACCTATGTGGTAATGATGGCTTACCATTGGAATTGGAAGCTTGTCTTAGCACTGACCGTTAGAATCAAGAGATAGCTATTGTCCCATTGTTGATTTGAGATTGTCTCACTTGTTCTTTAAGAGACTCGAACTTAACTAGTCTTCATCCATTCATGAAGAGGCTAGAACAAGGGTACGACACCCCCGTGGTTGTTAGTATTGGGGAAACCATGTAATACAAGTGCATGAGTTAACCCTGACTTGATAGCTTCTCATAAGTGGAAGGCTTGGTTAATCTGGGTTTTGGATGAAGTCTCTAAATAGCCACTGGTTTCATATCAGAGGTATCAGGAGGGTATAAGGTTGACATTGATTTTGCATTCTACTTTTGACCATATGGTTATTATTATTATGGTTTGGCATGTTTTCATTAGGGGCGTATGTTTGTTATTATTGTGACCCTAAGATATGCATTTTTAAATTAAATGTGACAATATGCATTAGTGCTTGATCATATGGTTGGTAGTTTTGTGGCTGAGGCTATAATTGTAAAATATGTATGTGATGCTTGTGAAAATATTTAATTGTCATTTACATCTATAATTAATTGATATCAACTGCATAGTCTAGATTAACCTTAATTACTAAATAGTTGTACTCATCCCTCATTTAACAAGTTATAGGTGCTAGCTTTCATTAGGACAAGGGAAAGACATATGAGGTTTAGAAATCAAATTTCCTACTATAATGTCACACCGCAAAATTTAGGCGTGACTGGCTCGGAATATGTAAAGGAACACACATCCCTTAGCCTTAATACTAGCAACTATATTTTAATTATAAAACATTCACGCTCTTAATTTTATTTATAACAAAAATCATAAATTTTCCTTGAAAATTTAATAGAGTTCCCTAAAATTTCTACTACAATTTCACCATGTACATGAATAATGAGTCTTGCTCTTACCAATAGACAAATGAATAATTAATCAATACAAGGATCCTAAGTATAGTCTATGTGGAGCATTTAAAATAGGATTTTCAAATCACATAGTATACTATATAAATTCAAGTTTTACAACAAATAAAAATTTAATCAAATTAATGCTTTAACCTCAATTTGAAAATATACCCTTCATTGATCCTCTGGAGGTCCACAATTGTCTACAATATCTAAGGCTAATAACTTTTCCAGTGCATAATATCCCAACAACAAAATTAAAATATTTAAAATAATAAAGTCATTAAGTAGATTGATGCACCATTAAAAGAGAACATCAATATAATAACTGAACTTAAAAATTAAGAAATTCTATATTGATTCAAAAATACCGAACCGATAAATTTATAATGACAAAAATTTGAAACTTGATCTTATAAAATAAAATAAATGAAGTAAATAAAAATAGTAACAATCATTATTTAAAATCATTAAAGTGCACACATATATTCACAAATCAATTAAATTTGAGGACTTTGCAGAATAGGTAACAAATGTGGACACACAGTCCATGAGGGTAAGTAACTAAACGTGGCTTATGCCATGAAACAAACGTGGACACACAATTTACTAGGGTAATATTAACCAAACGCAGCTTGAGCTACAAAACAAATGTAGACACACAATCCACGAGGGTAAGTAACCGAATGCAGTCGAAGCAACAAAAAAAAAAAGTGAGTACGATACTCATAAATAACCATCCCTTCATTCTGTGTGCATTGGCCATCACACGGGGCTAGCACCTTCTATAAACATCCTACTAGCTAGGTATACTATAGCACGCCAAGGGCCAACGGAATTGCCATTAGCAACCAATGCTTTGCGTACAGTCCTCTAAAAATTAATTTTTCAAACATGCAAGAAATTAATCATTTTCAAAATAAAGTTTTGTACTTTCAAAAGTTTACACCTTCTCATTGGTGAACTTCCACTAAGATCATGCCTTTTATTCATGTCTACCTTTCTCGAGTATTAGCCACTTCAACACTCTAAGGTAGTATAACATTTATAAGTCTCCCTTAAACAGTTCCTTAGCCTATCTAAGGTACTTTACTTAGTTACACTTCCTTAAGTGCAACTTCTATTCCTTATGATTAAAATACATGTAAATAAATCTTGTTTCCATAAAAACATTGTTGTTAAACAATTAAAAAAAACATATTTGTAGTATAATCAAAGTAGTATCTCATAACCCCTTATAAAGCACATTTAATCTTTTAAAATATGTAATGCATGATAGCTAATAATATTTATTCAAAAATAGCTAAAACAAAGTAATAAAAAAAATAAATTCCCCTGTTACCTCAACCCTTTGATACCAAAAGGGTCCTCTTATACAAAATAAGACTTGGCTTATTCCTTAACTTTTGAACAAATTCCACCAACAATCCCTACAACATATAAGTGATCCACATCACTCATCATGACAAATAGCATTAATGAAGATTATAACTCATACACATAACTTGAGTTAATGAGTTATAATCCATCCTAATAGTCCATATATTAAACTAACCATTCACATAGTATCACCTAATTACCAAAACCATTTATTAGCCATCACTAGACTAATTTCCAATTTATATAATTTTTAATCAATTAAAAACCTTCACTTAGTGTCACCAACTTTCACCATTAACCCTTATAATAAAAACCAAACTTTAATTAAAATCTTATTAGGCTCAAATAGCAAAATTATAACTAAATCAAAAAGCTTAAACCATTAAGGAGCAAAACCCAATCTCTCAGGGCTTAATTTATACCTAAAACACCTCTTTTCATCCAATTATCCACTCAAAATATTAGATCACTATATAGAAACTCAAAACATCCTCCTTAAGATCCAAAGAAACAAAAGCTTACAAGAATAAAGCCTTTGGGATCGAAATCCAAAAATTTTCTCTTCTAAAACTTGAAGAAAATCTAGAGGATTGAAGTAGGGAGTTTACTTATCATGTAGCCGAGCTCGCAATGGTCGCAAAGCCTCTTAGATCCAAGCCTAACTCCCTCTCTTTCTCTTCTCTTCTTACTCTCTCACATTCATTTCTTTCCTTTGTTTCTTTCTTTTCGTTTTTGCGTTCTATTTTCTCTTTAAAATGCTGATCTAAAATTTTGGGAAAAATTACAAGAAAGGGCCCAACATTTTTTATTATCACATAAAAGCCCAGGTCAACTTTGGTAATTTTTCCTATAGTTAAAAATCAAATAAAACCAAACTTTTGCTAAGAAAAATTTAAACTCTGGACCTCTATCAAATTATCTAAATTTTAATTTAATTATAGATATTTTATTTTTTTAAAATAAATTCAAGTCTTAAAATTTTTGGGATGTTACATTCTCCCCTCCTTTAAAAAGGATTTTGTCCCCAAAATCCAAGCTAATTCATGAATCATAGAGCAAAACATACCTAGGGCAATAACAGTGGATATTCCTTCCTCATTTGATTCTCAGTCTCGCAGATTGCAGCTCCTGGAGCTGTCTCTTTCCAAATCACTTTTACCAACTGGATTATCTTATTTCTAAGCTGCTTATTCTCAGCATCCATAATACGATCTGGTTTAGTTCGGTAGGTTAAATTCTCTTGAATTTCAACCTCCTCAGGTTCTATCACATGCGACGGGTCTGACTGGTACTTCTTCAGTTATGACACATGAAACACATTGTGTAGACTCGCTAACTGAGGCAACAATGCCAACTAATAAGCCATCGGCCCAACTTTCTTTAAAACCTCAAAAGGACCCATATATTGAGGAGACAACTTCTTAGCCTGAATTGAGTATCCAACACCCGTCAATGGGAAAACCTTGAGAAACACATAATCCCTAACCTTAAAAGATAGGTCCTTACGACGATTATCTGCATAACTTTTCTGTCTACTCTGTGCCGTAAGAAGCTTTTGTTGGATCAATTTAATTTTTTTCATGGTCTCATCCACCACATCCGGTCCCATCATTATCCTCTCACTCAACTCATACCAACAAAGAGGTGATCTGCACCGTCTTCCATACAATGCTTCATAAAGAGCCATCTGAATACTGGCATGATAACTGTTATTATAAGCAAACTTTGCCAGAGGCAAATGCTTATCCCAACTTCCCTGAAGCTCTAAGGCACATGACCTCAACATATCCTCTAATGTCTGGATCGTCTGCTTCGTTTGTCCATCCATTTGTGGATGATAAGACATACTGAACTTCAGATCTATGCCCATAGCCCTTTGCATAGCTTGCCATAAATTTGATGTAAACCGAGGATCACGGTTTGAAACAATATCCCTCGGTACCCCACATAGTCGCACAACCTCCTTAATGTAGATCTCAGCATACCTATCAACCGTATAGGTGGTCTTGACCGGTAAGAAATGTGCTAAATTAGTCAAACGATCTACAATTAGCCAGATAGAGTCAAAACTAGCTTGGGTCCTTAGCAAACTAGATACAAAATCTATTAAAATACTCTCCTATTTTCATTTAGGAATCTCCAAAGGCTGTAACAACCCTGATGGCTTTTGGTGCTCTATTTTGACCTTTTGACAGGTCAAACACTTTCTAACATACTCTATGACATCCTTTTTCATGCCTGGCCGCCCCCAATGATGCTGCATGTCATGATACATTTTAGTAGCACCGAGATGAAGGGTGTAGCTACTTCGATGCACCTCATCCAACAATTTCTTTCGAATAGACTCATTGTTGGGAATACACACCCTATCCTTGAAAACCACATACCTATCATCACTAAACCAATAGTCCATTGTCTCACCATTCTCGATGTCTTGACTTATTTTTAACAAAATTAAATCTTGAAGCTGAGCATCTCGTATCTCTTTCCAAAATTTATTGGAAATAACCATAGTCTTAAGACCATTCAAAGAGAACTCAGTCATACCCAGAGAAGTCTCAACCAAAGACTCCATCAATCTATGCTCCCGAACCATTAAATAGGCTACATGTAAGGTCTTGCGACTAAGAGCATCTGCTACCACATTTGCTTTCCCTGGATGATACTTAAATTTAAAATTATAATCTTTAAGAAACTTCATCTAACGTCTCTGTCTCATGTTGAGCTCTTTTTTATCCACCAGGTACTTGAGACTTTTATGGTCGCTCATGACCTTGAACTCTGTTCCATAAAGATAATGACACCAGATCTTCAATGCAAAGACCACCGCAGCTAACTCGAGATCATGTGTCAGATAATTCTCCTCATGTGGCCTAAGTTGTCAAGATGCATATGCCATTGCCCTCTCCTCTTGCATTAGAACACAACCAAGACCCTTATGAGAGGTATCAATATACACATCATAGGGCTTTTGAGGATCTGGAATCACCAACACTGGAGCTATTGTTAACCTTTCTTTCAACTCAAGAAAAGCTGTCTCACACCTATCATCCCAGATAAATGGCCTATCCTTCTTTGTGAGTCTAGTCAAAGGCATAGAAATCTGAGAGAAACATTTGATAAAACGCCAGTAGTAACCTGCTAATCCCAAAAAACTATGGATCTCTGTTATCGATTTTAGTCTTTCCTATTGCAAGACCGCTTCAACCTTATATGGATCAACTGTAATACCATTTGCCGACACAATATGTCCCAAGAACCTAACCTCTCTCATCCAAAACTCACACTTATTGAGCTTGGCATATAGCTTATGATCTCACAAAAACCTTAGGACAGTCCTCAAGTGTCTGGCATGCTGCTCCTCATCTTTAGAGTAGATCAGTATATCATCAATAAAAACCACCACAAACTGATCCAAGAAAGGTCAAAAATGTGGTTCATATAGTCCATGAAAACCACAGGCGCATTAGTCAGCCCGAATGTCATAACCCAAAACTTGTAATGACCATATCGAGTCCTAAAAGCCATCTTCGCCATATCCTTCTCACTAACCCTCAGCTGATGGTACCCTGAACGTAAATCAATCTTAGAGAAAATTGTGGGACTAACCAACTGATCCAAGAGATCATCGATGCGAGGCAGTGGGTACTTGTTCTTCATCGTAACCTTATTCAACTACCTGTAATCAATACACAATCTCAAACTACCATCCTTCTTCTTCACAAAAAAGACAGGGGATCCCCAAGGAGAAATATTAAGTCTAATAAATCCCTTATCTAATAGCTCCTTAAGTTGCTTCTTCAACTCAGCTAACTCTGAAGGAGCCATTCTATAGGGAGCCTTTGAAATTGGCTGAGTCCCTGGTACTAGGTCAATCGAGAATTCAACCTCACGCTCTGGAGGTAATCCTAACACATCCTCTGAAAACACCTCCGAGAACTCCCTAACAACCTCAATTTCATCCACTTTACATATCTTAGACCTTTGGGTAGCGAGCACTACCATGTAAGCCTCACAACCTTGCTCAATCAACCTTTTAGCTTGTAAAGAAGAAAGAAAACAAGAATGACCAGGGTATTCCTCGATCACCTCCGGTACTTCTACTAAAGTCACTATCTTAGCCACACAATCTAAGACAGCACCATAAGCTGTCAACCAATCCACACTAATAATTAAATCAATCCCTTGTATAGGTAATTTGATCACATTCACCTAAGTCGATCGCCCATTAAAAGTCATCTTAGTCCTATATACCACACTGGATCGACCAACCAAACCAGAAGTAGAGGAAACTTCTATATCATGTGGCAACCAGTCAACAGGCATACCCATTCTATCTAAACTCTCGACAGAAATAAAAGAATGCACCACACAATAAACAAACAAAGCTTCTAAATCAAGGCCACAGATAGAAACCATACTAGTAATCAGATTTGACGATTTCCTAGCCTCCTCCTGAAATATTGTATACACTCTACCAGGAATCGCATTCCTTCGGTCCAAGCTCTCATGCAAATCAGGGTAGTCATAGAGCAAAGGACCTAACTTTCCACGCTTATAGCAAGCAAAGCAGCAACCAAAATGAACCCTACCATATCTATCGCAAGGTGACCTCGCTGTGCTTAGAATTGGGGCTTGACTGGCCTGTGAAGAACATGCTGGAGTATTCCCAAAGAAACGAGAACCCCCAGATCTCATATTACCACCCCGATTACTTTGAAATCTTGAACCCTTATTTAAATTCTGATTACCAGAAGCAGAAGAAGACCTAGCTCTAAAGGAGCCACCAGAAGAAGAACCAGAGCTAAAACCCATTCTCTTAGATACACTACCAGTAGGAGCCAACCCAAAAGAAAATTGACCTCGTGTATCCCTACTTTAACTACTCTCTGTGTCTCGGCCTCGACGAGCGACAATCCTCAGATGATTGCACATCTCATCATATGTCGCCTCGCCCAACAAAGACAACTACTGGCGGTATTCTAGCCTCATCTTTTCCAATAACCTCTTTGCTTTCCACTTGCTATCATTAAAAGCCTTTAGATATGTTAAGAACTTAGATAGCTGATTGAATTTTCTCATAAAAGTCTCCTTGTCTAAGTTCCCCTGCTGAAACGCATGAAACTCTGCCTCTTTCTCGTCTTTGAAAGCTAGTAGAAAGTGAAAATTATAAAATCTTTCTTTAAATTCAGCCCAAGACATAGATCTTCCATCTGTGGGCTTAACAAAATTCCACCAATGCTTGGCTTCACTAATAAGCTGCATCATAGCCAAGATAACCCTTTACTCAGATGTACACCTCACAACAGTAAATAACTATTCCATCCGATCCAACTACTCCTCAGCTTTCCCATCAAGCATACTACCATCATATGTGGTCAGATTAGAGTGAGAGAATTCCTTCCAAGGTTCGGATATGTCATCCTCTCGATTATCAGCAATCGGTCCCTGAGCTCCCACAGCACTAAAAGATCCCTACCCAGCACCTGGGTTAACATGTTGATCTGGAATAGCACAACCTCTAAGATTTTGCTGTATATCTACCATCACTTCAAGCAGCCTAGCTATGACTGCATCCGTCCCCTGTGGTGGTGATGGAGGTACAGGTGAAGGCGGAAGAGGTAGAGGTAGTGGTTGTTCCTCATTCATCGATCTAACCCTTTCCCTTTGAGCCATATTAGAACTGAAAGGTCTACGACCACAAGTGCACAGACCTTTCTCCCCTCCTAAAGGAATAAGCCAGAGAAAGAAAAACAATATCAGTCCAGGTTAGTGGTAGAAGGGAAAGAGCATAAGAGTAATATATTTAAGGTGCCAAGTAAGAAAGAGGAATCATAAACCTAAAATTGATACCAAATGTAACACTTGTCCCGAGTGTTATCCAAAAATCACATAATGCAAATAAACTAAGTGTGGTTAAGGAGTTGATCCTCTAACCAACTTAAGACATAAATTTTGAATAGTACTATTAGCATACCAACTTTTGGAAAGATCCAACAGATGGATTGAATTTTGTACATGTTAAAACATCAACAAATATTACTGTCATGACAGCTCCTCCGGACTAAATTCCAGAGGGCACCATTTCTCCGCCCAGTATCCGATTGATGTGATTCTAAAGCCCACATGAAGCTTATAAAAGGTTTTACTTGTGACCCAAATTTTAGAGAAATCCAACGGTCGGATTAAGATTTGGACACCTGG